TTATTTAAGAAGGCTTTCCGTTACATAAAATTTCTGCAGTTTGAAACATACAGTTTAAACTAATTTTAATTCTATCATTTTTTATTGTATTCCATATTTATTATATGTAGCGACATTGTGATGAGCGGAAATGATTTTAGGTTACAAAAGCCCAATACTTCTCAAAGTATCAGTACCCGTGTTGTCACTGTCTGTTTGCCATAAAGTGTACCAACAGTTTGCTCCAATTACGGATCAGCAAATATGTGCCGGTGGATACAAATACAATGGTAGAGACTCATGTGGAGGAGACAGCGGTGGACCGATGAAGTATGTCGGACTTGTTGACGGCTCGCCTAGATACATACAGTACGGAATTGTATCATTTGGCCCGAGACAATGCGGTGCCGATGGGCAACCGGGTATTTACACCAGGGTTGGGAGTTATATCCAATGGATTTTGGATAACATGGAAGAATGAATGTCATTTAAAGCAAACAGGATTGGAAGAATTTCCATGGATGGCCCTCATAGCATACAACACAGGTACGCTTAAAGATTTTTTTATAGAAAATTTAAATATCTACTGATTAATTTTATATTACATTACACATTTACATTTTACAACCGCCGCTATTTGGTATTATATAACCCATGCTAATTTAAAAAAAAAACTTAGAAATTGCTGCGTTATGTTTTTTTCTATTATAAGTAAGGGGTGTTTTTTTTGGATGTATAGAACTTTAAGTTGCAATAAAACAACGATGGATTATTCGATTGACATGAATTTTATTTATCCGAAAGGTAATCTTGTGGCATTACATTTTAAATATGGTTTCTGGCATACGATTGCCACGGCTGGCGCGGATGTAGTCCAATCGAGACATCCAATTTTCGATTAATTTTTCCAACATTTGTTACCGTATATCGGCAATAACACGGCGAATGTTGTCTTGCAAATGGTCAAGCGTTTGTGGCTTATCCGCATAGACCAATGACTTTACATAGCACCACAGAAAGTAGCGGTGTTAAATCACAAGATCTTGGAGGCCAATTCACAGGTCCAAAACGTGAAATTAGGCGGTCACCAAACGTGTCTTTCAATAAATCGATTGTGGCACGAGGTGTGTGACATGTTGCGCTGTCTTGTTGAAACCACATCTCTTCGACATCATGGTTATTCAATTCAGGGATGAATGAGTTAGTAATCATAGCTCTATACCAATGATTCCACCAGCCCATAAAGCGCACCAAACTGTCAGTTTTTGTGGATGTAGGGTAAACTTGCCCAAATCGTACCAGTTTTGAACAACTTGTTGTAGATTTCTCAAAAATGCATCAAACACTATGAAATTTTGGTTGTTAAAAGTTTAATAGAATAAACATTAGACATGTGTTAATACTTAAAGAAACCCTGTTTTACTACTCAAAATAAAATATTTAAAAAATAATGAAAAAAGTACGATTTAAGACCATATGTCTTAACTCGTACCGCACTATTCCTAAATCGTACTTCTGATGCAATGTTGGCAAGTGTAAGAATATGTGGCTTTTCCTACACCTGCGCAGTTGTCGTGCCCCCATATGTTGCATTTGATGCATTGAATCATTGATTTTTCTTCATCTTTGCGGCATAAAATGCAATACCAAGTATTAGAATTCTTTTCTATTAAAGAGCGTTTCTTTGGTTTTGTTGGTCCATCTAATTTATTTTCTAACATATTTTTATATGGACTCTCAGTAAGGACTACGGCCTTGCTTGTTTTCTTAGATGTTTGCGGTGGAAGTCGATATATTGGTGACAAATTCTCAATAACCGTGCGGATGGATGCGTCAGTTTGATCGTGTGCATTTGTAGAAACATTCGCTGTGGAAGGACCAGGATCCGAAAGTTGCATATCAGTTTGGGTCATTTCATTTTCATCGAGCACGACATATTTTTCATCTGGTATTCGATGCCTGTTGCAAGGCCACAATCCACAAGTTTCAAAACCTTTCATAGCGATGTCCATACAAACCGATCTAGGATATGCCACTCCCAAAATTTCAGATATGTTTCACCAGGGTGATTTCTTATCCAAACTGCACATTCTTTGTTAAAATTAGTTTTTAATGACTTAAAGAATGATCTATCCAAAGGCTGTAGTTTGTGTGTTGTGTGCGCCGGCAAAGAAAACATTACGATACCGTATTCTCTAGCAAGGTTTATGGCTTCTAGATTCTTAGTATGTGTGGTATGTCCATCCAATATTAATAGAATTTTATGATGCAATTGTTTTTCCAATTTTAAATGATTTATGAAATGTTGTAACCATTCGACAAAGATTGAAGCGACAATCCACCCACTCTCAGAACAAGTGTACAGCGTTTTAGGCTGGCCACCACGTTTAAGGATATCCGTCATTCTTTTGCGTTTGAAGATGAACATTGGAGGAATAAAGTCTCCACTAGCATTCATGCAACAAACGCATGTAGTGTTAATTCCACGTTCTCCGCTAGTGACTGCTCCGACTTGATGTTTTCCTTTTAACGCTAATATTTTAGCAGGCTTATGAACGGTATTAAGACCTGTCTCATCCATGTTAAAAATTTCGTTAGGTCCAAATTGGAAATCTTCTAGAATCTTTTCGTATTTGTCGAAAAATTCTGATACAATGTTTTTGTTAAATCCTTTACATCGTGCCATTGATGTTGGTTCAGGCATTCTTAAGGCAATTTCTGGGTGGTTTTTCATAAATTTGTAATACCATTTCCAACCGGCTAACTCTTGCACCTTATTAAATCGGTGCGGAAGTTTGTATTTTTCTGCCAACTGAAATGCTAGATGTCTTAAATCTGTGATAGTTAACCCAAAGAATCTAGACTCCAAATCCAAAATGTGATGAACCAATTCGGTCTCCATTTGCTCCGTCAAATCGCTTGGTTTTCCTATTTTTTTCTGAGAAATTAGACCTTTTAAATGACGTCGAAAGGTCGGTTTTGGAATACCATATGTCCTGCATACTTCATTGAATCGTAATTTCCCATTATTAAAATCTTGTATTGCTGCATTCATATTTTCCATAGACCATTTATTATATTGTCGTTTTCCCATTGTGTGCTAAAAAAAATTATTTTTATTTTTTCCTCTCATAAAATGATAAAATTAAAAACTTAACAAATATGTATAAACAGAAATTGATTGGTTAAAACCAAAATGAAAACAATTTCATTTCGTATTCCTAATTTGTACCGGTACGAATTAGGATGTATAATAAAGTACGATTTAAGCTCAAAGTCCTCTTCAAAATACACTTAACGCTTTTAGGTTATGAGAAAACGCTGCGCGCTAATTCTACCACCAAATGAATTGTAAAGAAATGCAATTTTTGAAAACCGTATGATTCACAATATTATGTTTATAGAATTCTTAAAAAACGCTTACAAAAAACGCTAAAATTTTACAAGAAAACTGAAAAAAACTTACTTTTATCAGTAAAATTACATCTCGCACAGGAATCACTGCTTCGGAGCACCACAGCTGGTTAGCTTAGCACTAACTCAAGTAATCACCGACAGATGCCGCTGTATGTTTTATAAATTCTGAGTAATTTAGGTGGTACGATTTACGCGCAAGTGCGATTTAGGCAAGTTTACCCTAACTGTGCTTTGACATACACTTGAGGATTAGCTTCGCTCCAAATGCGGCAGTTTTGTTTGTGCGAGAATAAATCACTTGACAGCTGTTAAATCGGTCGCCATCTTGAACAGTTATGCCAACTTAAAGTTCTATACATTGGTAAAAAACACCCATTACATATGTTTAGAAACATATCTGTGTTTGAATCATGAAATAATATAACCAAGAGAATTGTATCGAATTTTTGTCACTTTGTCACTACGATGACCATTAATTTTGAAAGTATGATCTAAAAATAAATTAGGCAAATCACTTTTTAAGACGAAAGCTAAGTTGGATGAAAATATAAAATCGCGCAATATAGTAATTGATTTTATTTCTAGGAGATGGAATAGATTTTCGTTGTGGAGGTACCCTAATAAATGCCAGATATATACTCACCGCAGCACATTGTATTATAAATACTATGTCTATGTAAGTAGCTGACTTGTAATTATTTAGGTGCTGGCGTCTCTATTAACACTAGGCACTAAAGTAGTAATAGCTATAATTGAAATCGACTATATGAATAAGTAACTTCAAATTCAGACGTGCTATTTTTATAAAATTTGAATAAATTTAAGACTTAAACAAGTTAAAAGAATTAAAGTTTTCACTTAAAGCTGAACGTGAATATATTTAATTACCAAAATCTCGGTCGGAGAGAGATCATAGTCACCCCGATCAGGAGTTTCGAATATTTTTCGACTGGCGATGTTTTTTTTTATAATCGACTATTATAAGAATTTAGTTTCTTATTGTTAACAAATTCATCAACAAGATTTTGGGGACCCATGCTTCCATGTTGAAATAAGACCTGTTTTCCCACTAATTTGTTATAGGTTTTTGAGGTATTTGGTTCAAAATTAAAGCGTTTTTGAATGCACATTTTCCTTTTTCTTCGCATTTCAATTCTAATACAGAAAGCCAATTTTCAATTTTGTTTACAAACTTTTTATTCCGTTGTAATTTATTTGCATCTGCAATACTTACTCACTCATGGTCTTCACTTACTAATTAAAACTTTTGACGAAACAATGGAAAATGTAATCGTTACTAAGGCGAACCATAATACTCTATGGATCGGCAACGAAGCGTTTGTTGAGTCTTTCTTCCATGTTGAAAATGTTTCCCTGAAATCTTGACTACAATTTTGAAACACTCCTTATTGTTTTTTCAACATTTTAAACACTGTACTTATTTATATCTTTTGACTGGAAAGTTAATCATTTCTCATGTTGCTTAAAGTTAATATCGGTACTTAAATATATGATGTAATGGATTCATTATTTCCTAATTGCAAATGCAAAAAAAGTTTCAAAGTAGATAGGTTTTAATATCCGAGCTAAATAAATGATTGGAAATGGTGTAATAACTACGTGGTATTTATAATTAGTCGAGTGTTTATTTTAATTGTTTTAGAATTGGAGTTAGGCTAGGAGAATACGATTTACGAAACACGGAGGACTGCGAAGAAGGATACTGCGCTCCAAAAGTGCAAGATTTCCGAGCGGAAAAGATGATGATTCATCCGAACTATAACAAACGGACATACACAAATGATATAGCGTTGATAAGGCTAGACTATAATGCAAATTTTAGTTATTGTAAGTAGAATTGAATAATTAGTATATAGCTCCGACCCTTTTCTTGTAATGAATTTATAATAGGCCAATAATAAAATGAAAACCAATTTTCACAAATATACAGATTTTATCAGCGTTGCAGATTTTTATCGTCAAAATTTTTAACTAGTTTAGTATTACGTCTAGTAATGTGCAAATGATTTCAGCCAATATTAAACCGATATGTCTTCCGGTGAGCGAAATTAATGACGACCTAACGGGAAAATCGGCTATCGTCTCCGGATGGGGTGCTACGGAAAAAGGTACAGTTACATGTTCTAGCAAAATTTTCTTTAAATTTCAAAATTGCAAATATTCCTAATAGTTGCTAAATCAGTGTAACAGCTGTTGATCAACTCTTTCCATAGCGACAACAAGGGTAATTGAAAAAATCAAAACTCAAGACCTAAATTTTTTGCGAAAAAGTAGTATTTTTATTTAAGTTAACGAAAATTATTTCGCATTTTCATGGAAATGTTCGGGTGACTTTTTATTTAGGAAGGCTTTCCGTTACATAAAATTTCTGCAGTTTGAAACATACAGTTTAAACTAATTTTAATTCTATCATTTTTTATTGTATTCCATATTTATTATATGTAGCGACATTGTGATGAGCGGAAATGATTTTAGGTTACAAAAGTCCCATACTTCTCAAAGTATCAGTACCCGTGTTGACACTGTCTGTTTGTCATAAAGTGTACCAACAGTTTGCTCCAATTACGGATCAGCAAATATGTGCCGGTGGATACAATGGTAGAGACTCATGTGGAGGAGACAGCGGTGGACCGATGAAGTATGTCGGACTTGTTGACGGCTCGCCTAGATACATACAGTACGGAATTGTATCATTTGGCCCGAGACAATGCGGTGCCGATGGGCAACCGGGTATTTACACCAGGGTTGGGAGTTATATCCAATGGATTTTGGATAACATGGAAGAATGAATGTCGTTTAAAGCAAACAGGATTGGAAGAATTTCCATGGATGGCCCTCATAGCATACAACACAGGTACGCTTAAAGATTTTTTTATAGAAAATTTAAATATCTACTGATTAATTTTATATTACATTACACATTTACATTTTACAACCGCCGCTATTTGGTATTATATAACCCATGCTAATTTAAAAAAAAACCTTAGAAATTGCTGCGTTATGTTTTTTTCTATTATAAGTAAGGGGTGTTTTTTTTGGATGTATAGAACTTTAAGTTGCAATAAAACAACGATGGATTATTCGATTGACATGAATTTTATTTATCCGAAAGGTAATCTTGTGGCATTACATTTTAAATATGGTTTCTGGCATACGATTGCCACGGCTGGCGCGGATGTAGTCCAATCGAGACATCCAATTTTCGATTAATTTTTCCAACATTTGTTACCGTATATCGGCAATAACACGGCGAATGTTGTCTTGCAAATGGTCAAGCGTTTGTGGCTTATCCGCATAGACCAATGACTTTACATAGCACCACAGAAAGTAGCGGTGTTAAATCACAAGATCTTGGAGGCCAATTCACAGGTCCAAAACGTGAAATTAGGCGGTCAACAAACGTGTCTTTCAATAAATCGATTGTGGCACGAGGTGTGTGACATGTTGCGCCGTCTTGTTGAAACCACATCTCTTCGACATCATGGTTATTCAATTCAGGGATGAATGAGTTAGTAATCATAGCTCTATACCAATGATTCCACCAGCCCATAAAGCGCACCAAACTGTCAGTTTTTGTGGATGTAGGGTAAACTTGCCCAAATCGTACCAGTTTTGAACAACTTGTTGTAGATTTCTCAAAAATGCATCAAACACTATGAAATTTTGGTTGTTAAAACTTTAATAGAATAAACATTAGACATGTGTTAATACTTAAAGAAACCCTGTTTTACTACTCAAAATAAAATATTTAAAAAATAATGAAAAAAGTACGATTTAAGACCATATGTCTTAACTCGTACCGCACTATTCCTAAATCGTACTTCTGATGCAATGTTGGCAAGTGTAAGAATATGTGGCTTTTCCTACACCTGCACAGTTGTCGTGCACCCATATGTTGCATTTGATGCATTGAATCATTGATTTTTCTTCATCTTTGCGGCATAAAATGCAATACCAAGTATTAGAATTCTTTTCTATTAAAGAGCGTTTCTTTGGTTTTGTTGGTCCATCTAATTTATTTTCTAACATATTTTTATATGGACTCTCAGTACGGACTACGGCCTTGCTTGTTTTCTTAGATGTTTGCGGTGGAAGTCGATATATTGGTGACAAATTCTCAATAACCGTGCGGATGGATGCGTCAGTTTGATCGTGTGCATTTGAAGAAACATTCGCTGTGGAAGGACCAGGATCCGAAAGTTGCATATCAGTTTGGGTCATTTCATTTTCATCGAGCACGACATATTTTTCATCTGGTATTCGATGCCTGTTGCAAGGCCACAATCCACAAGTTTCAAAACCTTTCATAGCGATGTCCATACAAACCGATCTAGGATATGCCACTCCCAAAATTTCAGATATGTTTCACCAGGGTGATTTCTTATCCAAACTGCACATTCTTTGTTAAAATTAGTTTTTAATGACTTAAAGAATGATCTATCCAAAGGCTGTAGTTTGTGTGTTGTGTGCGCCGGCAAAGAAAACATTAGGATACCGTATTCTCTAGCAAGGTTTATGGCTTCTAGATTCTTAGTATGTGTGGTATGTCCATCCAATATTAATAGAATTTTATGATTCAATTGTTTTTCCAATTTTAAATGATTTATGAAATGTTGTAACCATTCGACAAAGATTGAAGCGACAATCCACCCACTCTCAGAACAAGTGTACAGCGTTTTAGGCGGGCCACCACGTTTAAGGATATCCGTCATTCTTTTGCGTTTGAAGATGAACATTGGAGGAATAAAGTCTCCACTAGCATTCATGCAACAAACGCATGTAGTGTTAATTCCACGTTCTCCGCTAGTGACTGCTCCGACTTGATGTTTTCCTTTTAACGCTAATATTTTAGCAGGCTTATGAACGGTATTAAGACCTGTCTCATCCATGTTAAAAATTTCGTTAGGTCCAAATTGGAAATCTTCTAGAATCTTTTCGTATTTGTCGAAAAATTCTGATACAATGTTTTTGTTAAATCCTTTACATCGTGCCATTGATGTTGGTTCAGGCATTCTTAAGGCAATTTATGGGTGGTTTTTCATAAATTTGTAATACCATTTCCAACCGTCTAACTCTTGCACCTTATTAAATCGGTGCGGAAGTTTGTATTTTTCTGCCAACTGAAATGCTAGATGTCTTAAATCTGTGATAGTTAACCCAAAGAATCTAGACTCCAAATCCAAAATGTGATGAACCAATTCGGTCTCCATTTGCTCCGTCAAATCGCTTGGTTTTCCTATTTTTTTCTGAGAAATTAGACCTTTTAAATGACGTCGAAAGGTCGGTTTTGGAATACCATATGTCCTGCATACTTCATTGAATCGTAATTTCCCATTATTAAAATCTTGTATTGCTGCATTAATATTTTCCATACACCATTTATTATATTGTCGTTTTCCCATTGTGTGCTAAAAAAAATTATTTTTATTTTTTCCTCTCATAAAATGATAAAATTAAAAACTTAACAAATATGTATAAACAGAAATTGATTGGTTAAAACCAAAATGAAAACAATTTCATTTCGTATTACTAATTTGTACCGGTACGAATTAGGATGTATAATAAAGTACGATTTACGCTCAAAGTCCTCTTCAAAATACACTTAACGCTTTTAGGTTATGAGAAAACGCTGCGCGCTAATTCTACCACCAAATGAATTGTAAAGAAATGCAATTTTTGAAAACCGTATGATTCACAATATTATGTTTATAGAATTCTTAAAAAACGCTTACAAAAAACGCTAAAATTTTACAAGAAAACTGAAAAAAACTTACTTTTATCAGTAAAATTACATCTCGCACAGGAATCACTGCTTCAGAGCACCACAGCTGGTTAGCTTAGCACTAACTCAAGTAATCACCGACAGATGCCGCTGTATGTTTTATAAATTCTGAGTAATTTAGGTGGTACGATTTACGCGCAAGTGCGATTTAGGCAAGTTTACCCTAACTGTGCTTTGACATACACTTGAGGATTAGCTTCGCTCCAAATGCGGCAGTTTTGTTTGTGCGAGAATAAATCACTTGACAGCTGTTAAATCGGTCGCCATCTTGAACAGTTATGCCAACTTAAAGTTCTATACATTGGTAAAAAACACCCATTACATATGTTTAGAAACATATCTGTGTTTGAATCATTAAATAATATAACCAAGAGAATTGTATCGAATTTTTGTCACTTTGTCACTACGATGACCATTAATTTTGAAAGTATGATCTAAAAATAAATTAGGCAAATCACTTTTTAAGACGAAAGCTAAGTTGGATGAAAATATAAAATCGCGCAATATAGTAATTGATTTTATTTCTAGGAGATGGAATAGATTTTCGTTGTGGAGGTACCCTAATAAATGCCAGATATATACTCACCGCAGCACATTGTATTATAAATACTATGTCTATGTAAGTAGCTGACTTGTAATTATTTAGGTGCTGGCGTCTCTATTAACACTAGGCACTAAAGTAGTAATAGCTATAATTGAAATCGACTATATGAATAAGTAACTTCAAATTCAGACGTGCTATTTTTATAAAATTTGAATAAATTTAAGACTTAAACAAGTTAAAAGAATTAAAGTTTTCACTTAAAGCTGAACGTGAATATATTTAATTACCAAAATCTCGGTCGGAGAGAGATCATAGTCACCCCGATCAGGAGTTTCGAATATTTTTCGACTGGCGATGTTTTTTTTTATAATCGACTATTATAAGAATTTAGTTTCTTATTGTTAACAAATTCATCAACAAGATTTTGGGGACCCATGCTTCCATGTTGAAATAAGACCTGTTTTCCCACTAATTTGTTATAGGTTTTTGAGGTATTTGGTTCAAAATTAAAGCGTTTTTGAATGCACATTTTCCTTTTTCTTCGCATTTCAATTCTAATACAGAAAGCCAATTTTCAATTTTGTTTACAAACTTTTTATTCCGTTGTAATTTATTTGCATCTGCAATACTTACTCACTCATGGTCTTCACTTACTAATTAAAACTTTTGACGAAACAATGGAAAATGTAATCGTTACTAAGGCGAACCATAATACTCTATGGATCGGCAACGAAGCGTTTGTTGAGTCTTTCTTCCATGTTGAAAATGTTTCCCTGAAATCTTGACTACAATTTTGAAACACTCCTTATTGTTTTTTCAACATTTTAAACACTGTACTTATTTATATCTTTTGACTGGAAAGTTAATCATTTCTCATGTTGCTTAAAGTTAATATCGGTACTTAAATATATGATGTAATGGATTCATTATTTCCTAATTGCAAATGCAAAAAAAGTTTCAAAGTAGATAGGTTTTAATATCCGAGCTAAATAAATAATTGGAAATGGTGTAATAACTACGTGGTATTTATAATTAGTCGAGTGTTTATTTTAATTGTTTTAGAATTGGAGTTAGGCTAGGAGAATACGATTTACGAAACACGGAGGACTGCGAAGAAGGATACTGCGCTCCAAAAGTGCAAGATTTCCGAGCGGAAAAGATGATGATTCATCCGAACTATAACAAACGGACAAACACAAATGATATAGCGTTGATAAGGCTAGACTATAATGCAAATTTTAGTTATTGTAAGTAGAATTGAATAATTAGTATATAGCTCCGACCCTTTTCTTGTAATGAATTTATAATAGGCCAATAATAAAATGAAAACCAATTTTCACAAATATACAGATTTTATCAGCGTTGCAGATTTTTATCGTCAAAATTTTTAACTAGTTTAGTATTACGTCTAGTAATGTGCAAATGATTTCAGCCAATATTAAACCGATATGTCTTCCGGTGAG